CTCGAGATTCAGCATGTTGCAACATTAGAGAACAATCCTGCCGATGTTTTTGTGGAGCTTCTGGTTGACGCTATTAGTGGTCTTCGATGAGTTTGGAGGAATATCAGACTGTTTTCGCTCCCTAAACAGGGCCCCCAACAGACCGCCCAAATTTAGCCGTCGCCGTCGGATAGCTAACTTAGGGCTTATTAAACCGTCGATCCTGTTAGGCGGCGACGGGCTAGAAGAGGCTTAGTATTTCTAAATATTCCTAAATAGGCTAGAAAATGAGGTATCTGAGCAATAAGTAGCACCAGCCCTCTCCAAAGTCTCACACCAACTCAAACCTACCTCCCACGCTCATGCAACAGCCTTGTACGACTCAACACCTTACGGCAAATATCATATCGCGGTCTCGTCCTCATCTGCAAAGTCCCATAAAGCAGCAAACTCTTCTTTTTCGGGAATTCTGAACTCAGAGGGAAAATTTGTCAGGTATGTCAATACCGCATTGTTCCATTCTCCAGCATTCAAGCGTCCCAATGCAATTTTGAAGTTTTCATGGTACGCAGCATGGAAGTCATCAAATTGTGGTGGCTTATGCAAGATTTCGGCGTTTGGTTTTCCGGCGGTGAGGATGGTGATGTTTGTTTTGTTGAAGATGCGCTTGGAATGGGGTGTAATTTTGATCATAGCATCTACGTCTTGTTTGAGCATCGTTTGCGGAGATGGATTTCTCGTGGTATGATAGTTGCTCAGCCATTGTAGTCGGCGGTAAGGAGATCAGATGAGACGGTTGATAGTGGAAAAGTTTGAGCAATCTTTATCGTAGATATTCGCTGACAAAATTACATCACATGCCAATGCCCTGCATATCTCAGCCTTGTCGCTAGCGTTTTCAACATCTGCGCCGCAGTGTTGGTCAACCTTGATTGGGTATACACACATCACATTCAAAAGCTCTTGTGAGAGATCGCGCGGTCACAGGAAGTAGGTTTATACAGTATGTTCTGTGTAATTCGACGCAAGGAGTATGTCGCGCAACTAACAGATTTGCTAGTCAGGTCTTTTGAAGGAGTGTTCCCGTTTTGATGCTAATAGTATCTGGTTCATCCTGAGTTGGCGGGGTGGAGGGAACTTGGAGCATGTAGCTCCGAGCGTTATGCCAGAAGTGATTTAATAAAGAAATGAGTTCGCAAAGTACGAGGGAAGAATAGTGAATAATCGGAACGCCAGTGAGATGACCTCAAAAACGATGATACCTACTTGAATCGGTGTTGCATGAGTCCAGTTTGGCAATTGCTAGCTCAGAATGACTTGCCTGAAGTCGTACTACCATTTCTGAGTCCAAGATCAGAAACGGTAATGAGATGAACATCAGAAAATCATAGCCCCTAAAAGTCGCAGCACTTAATCCACATGCTTCCTAAAGATTCCCGTAGTTGTGCGAGAAAAATTCTAAATGTCGGGCCCACATATGTCTTCCAATTCACGTCCAACCACGACGACATCCAAGGAAATTGAAGATCCACCAACATTCTTCCAGGAAGCGTTTGCTTCAGCTAAAGAGCTGCACAAGACCAGAACATTACTGCTGAAAACTGGTGCTGGTGACCTCAGACAAGTTTACCACGACCAAACCACCCGTTGTGATCGGGTCGCAATAGGCATTCTGAAATTGATGAGGGCTCTGCACGTAGTTCTCCAGAATATACCGCCGTTACAAAATTGTACCGCCATCTTGCAAGTCTTCGAGCCCATCAGGAGAGAAGCTTCACTGTATATTGAGCTGAGAGCACCCTTGTACATATGTGAACGCTACGAGAAACAAAGAGCAGATCAAAAGGAGCTGGAGAGGGATATTGAAAGCTGGATATTTCAGGCACAAACCACCAATGTCCACGACTGGTTAGTAAAGTTTGAAAGGCAATATGATATTGTGGATATGGTACTGTGAAGGCATGCAAAAGGAGGTCAGTGCCAGAATGGGAGGTTGCGGGATTCAGAACCTATTCATTAAACGCAACCACAATGCGGACGGCGCTCATTGCACAATGATTGAAACTGTTCCTTGAGCCGTCAATATACTTAAAAAAGAAACATACCTTTGATAAGCCTAAAGTAATCGAAATTCCCGTCACTAGACCCATACCGGCCTAAAAAGACACCGAGGAGAGTAATAAGACAACCTCACCATTCCCTACTTCTTCAAACCCCTCAATGACCCGAAAATGCCCTTCTTGAGCCTCATACTGCCGCCAGCAAGCAATTTCTTCCATGTAACTCCCTGTCGACCACACACGACATCCTCCTTTTCTTCTACCCCAATAGCTTCTTCAACAACCGACTTAACCTCTTGAACAGCAACCTTCTTAGCTGGAACAGCCCGCATAGCTCGACAGTTCTCCACCTCCACCGCACCAGCATGAATGTGATATTTGCAGATATCCAGACCGTACGGCGCTAGACCCGATCGGGAGACTGCCAAAAGAAGCTGCTTTTCGTACTTCTGAGGCATACGACTAGCCCAGATGGTATCCTGTTCATTGACCGCATCACAATCCCAATAAACTGCCATAACATCAACGAAATAGCGCAGTAGCGGCGCCGACACCTCCAAGAGACTACTCTCAAATCCCCTCTTCACAATGTGCCAATCCGGTAGACAGTCCCTAGAGGTATCCTGTTCGATCCACGTAGTAAGAACATGATTGCCCAATTCCCAGATCTCGTATTCGCAGGCAAAGAGGTAGATTTCGAACAGGAGGGCTTCGGGGGTGATAACAGTAGAGCCACCAGCAGTGGACAAACGTATTTGATTGGCTCGGAGAGTTCTTTTGGCTAGACGAAGGGGGATGGTGCACGTGGTACCGCATTGGCAAATGATTGTGTTGTTGCTTATGGATGAATTGGACAAGTTCGAATCCCATATGAGGCCGAGTAGACTGGCTGGTTCGGAAGTGAGTTTGTAGAAACAGTCCGGATTGGGACAGGAGAATGTATCGTCTTCTTCGTTGTAGAGAGGGTGGTGAGTGGAACTGTGAGGATCGAACTGAGGAGCTTGAATAGCCATGGAAGAAGCTTGTTTACTCTCTAGCCAGTTGACGTAATAACGGAAAGTGTCTTCGGTGATGTTTGAGATGGTCAAGCATTGAGTCGCGAGATCGACCTTTGAGTAGAGCAAATCAGAAGATTGGTATAGAAGATGAGCGTCCACAGGAATAGGATTTCCAGGTGTCTGGCCAATTCTGCATCTAATAACACCCTGGCACTCCAAATATGGGCGCTCAATCTTGCAAGAAGCGAGTGCAGCTCTCAAGGTAGCGTTATCAGGACTGAATGACCTTTCCTTAGCCTTTGCATCTTCGGCAGCATAAGTCTTGGATAGCTCCCATAGCTTAGGCTGAAAGCCAATCTCGGGGGTAATACACGAGACCCGTTCCAGTGGTTCTCCAGAGTATGAAACCTTGATTATGGTGGTGGCAGGGCTTTTCTTCTCCGAAACCGGAGTAGTAAGACGCATTTTCCTATTGAACAAACTGCCCATTGAGTCTCTCCTAGCTCTTTCGGGTGTTTTGTCATCTTGTAGGGGTATTTCTGAGTGTTGAGGCAAGAAATAACCCTCCCAGGCCAGTGGAGTGTCATTCAAATCAGGCGTGAGGTCGCCATTTGAGGAGTAGGTAAGAAAAGCGTTGATTTCGTACCTAGTGGTGGTTATTAGCTGTTCATCCCTCCAAACAAGGCGTAAAAGAATCATACTCGAGCTGCGTATTATTCTCTGTGCTAGAAAACATGTTTTTAAGTAGTTCTGTAGCGTGTATTGGAGATGGAATGCTTGCTAGAGACGTATACGAGCAGCTGTGTTGATAAGCAGATGCAAGCAACCTGATGCACAGATAGCATGGCAATAGCCTCGCTTTAGCACGGGAAGCATCGGTGGAGGGGTACCCCCGTGGAAAGACCTTGCCAGTCCCTTGCTCTTTCTTCCAATCGTGGAATCTGCTGTAGAGATATCTGAATGAGTATGTCAACTTATTTTCAGCCTGCCAAAGGCTCCCAGCAGCCAGCGATGCAACATGCTTAAGAGGCTCACCATATTGGCGATGAAAATACATACTGTCTTTCGGATTGAACATGCTCAAATTCCTGTCTAGTAAGTGGGAAGGCGTGGTAAACTTACCGGCACCCATCTCACCTACAGATGCCAACGTTTGGCCAGGTGCAGCGGTAAAGCTCACGCCTTTCGGTGTTTACTTCATGGAGTCGGACGAAAACTCCACGTTATCGAATTTGACCTCTCCCTCTGGCCAGCGTAGATGTGGTGCGTTTTCTTTGATGAGTCTATCAAATTTTGTATAGCTTATTACATGGCCTGTTGTTGAGGATACCGCTTCTAAAATCTTTTCCTCGCCATTGGGCCCCTGTCCGCATTATCTCTGGCCGCCTATCAAAATGACGATCGGAGATTAGCTAGTAGGTAGCTTCGTCTAGCCTGTGATATACTGGTCAACGATAATAGGGCTCTTAACCCGCTTGAACTATTCTTGGAAACAGATCACAAGCACTCTCGTTGACACAAAGCGTCCCCTCCAGCTCATGCAACGAAGGCTACGGCTGTGGAACAGGCAAAAGGGGGTTTCTCTTGGAATCTACCCCGTCACTCTTACCAACACTAAACCCTCAAATAGTACTCGAGACCCCAAGCACAAAACTACCCCCTCAGGGCCTCTGAAAGCCAAATCAACCTTTGCCGGAGGCCTGACATACAGCGATCAGGTTACCTATATTAAACCACAATAAGCATACATAATTTTCATTAATACGTACGTACGGTCTCAAGCCTCAGAGGCTATCGGCATACTTACTTAAATCTAAACGCTTTGAAAAAAAAATTCGCTCCTAAAATTCCCAGCTCTTTTCGGGTCTGGAGAATCCTACGTAGTAGAGGAAACAGACTTGGAAAGCTTACCTCTTTAGCAAAACACTCAAAAGGTCAAAGAACCAAAAAGAAAAAAACAGTACGACCAGCACGGGAGTCGAACCCGCAACCTTGCCCTTAGGAGGGGCACGCGCTACCATTGCGCCAACCTACATGGTGGGGCATGTCAGTGAGAACCTCCAGTCCAAATGTCTCTCCACTGAGGAGAAACACTTTTAAGAGAAAGGTGAACTTACCGGCCAATATAGAAGATTTTGATTGTGTACCCGCGAGGATGTGTATAAATAGAGTCGAGGAAAGGAAAGGTGTACAGCTGATGATCAAAGGGTACTGGAGGGATGGGTAAGAGTAAAAGGAATGGAGACGAAGAGACGGTTGATATCTGGCCAATGAGAAAGAGTGAGACGGCGTGTCACCACCATAAGATTAGATCTTACCTTTTTCCATACGAAGCTCTAGAGATTATATTCATCACTCGCTTGCGCATATCTACACGCTCCAATAGCCAGACCTGAAAGCACTACACCCAAAACCATCCCCACACCCGCACAACTCCACGACCACCTATCGTCCCGTCACCTCCTCTGCTTAGCATTCCCCTCGACACTCGCACCACTAGCCTTCACACCCTCCTCAACAGCCAAAGCCTTCCCCTTCGCCCCAGAATTATCCTCCGGACCCGCAATTGCTGGCTTCTCCGCAGTTCCCGTCCCCTCAACCTCTTCATCCTCTCCACCACCCTGCCCAAACTCATTGACCCTCGAATAATCAACCTTATACTTATAACTCTGATAAAGATAAACAAAAAAGATGACATCATCCCTCAACGTCGCAAGCCTATGCAACATAGGCATCTTGATAGTAAAAGCAAACAAATCATCAATGAACGTGTTGAGGAATTTGTACATCATGGCTTTTCCGGGGAGGTGAGCCACGCTCTTGAGGCGGTAATTTATGTACAGGGATGGGACCATCATGAGGAAGCCGTAGGCATAGACGGAACCGACGAGGGTGGTTATGATGAAGGAGTACCATGATTTGTGGGAGTCGTATATGACGCTGTATGTGGCATAGGCGAGGAGGAGGGGGATGGCGATGTAGTACATGTAGGTGAAGGCGATGGCGTCGTATTCTTGCGTCTTCTTTTCTGTGTCCGATAGTTTGTGTTTGTCTTCAAAGGCAATTGTGTAGGGTAATAGTGATCCTTGCGGCGTGGGTCGTATCCTGACATTGACAGTCTTGGTAATCTTCCATGCTTCAATGGCGATGCCCATTCCTTGGCCGAAGAGGATCATCCAGGACGTGTTCTCGTTGTTGTCTAGCAAGTATAGGAAGATGATTGTTTGCATGAAGACATTGGCAAGGATCGTGCGGAGGGAAGTACCGACATTGTCCTTCTTCTTGCGCCAATGAGAAACGTCGTTCTTGAAGGCTAGCATTTCGAATATCATGTGCAATATGGACACAATGAACGTAGTCCCAAGGAGGAAAGGATTGGAGTCCAGAAGGATAACTTTGAGTTGTTCGAACTCGGATCCATCGCTTCCAACTCCCGAAGTCTTTCCGGCAGCGGCGTTGCGTGCTGTCTCCTTCATAGATTCGTCCATTGTCGCCAGAATACTGTATTTCCAGTTGGCGAGGTTGTTGAGCGTGATGTGCAGAGGAAGAGTCTTGACAGTGTCATTCAATTCCGTCATGTGGGTTTTGAGTTGCCAGAATGTGTTCACGTAAAGGACCGGGTAGTACCATCCATTCTGGCCGTGTTCGTCTCTTGCTGATGTACGCTCAAGCTGAATGAATTGGCGGAGAGCGGGATGAGCAGACGGGTAATTTATCGTTCCTGAATCGGGAACAAAAGACAGGGTAAAGTTGGGATGATAGTATGATGCCCATGTCGGTCCCTTGGCAGCCTCAATGGCTTCTTCCGCAGTAGGCTCAGTCTTATTCTTTCCAGCAAGCAGATTCTGCCTCTTCGCCACCTTCTTCTTGACAAGGAATTGTGTCAATGGCCGAGAGAAGTGATATGCCTTGGCGGGATCGAAATGCGATGATGTGGGATCATTTCCGCTGCCCGTTTGCGCAACAAGAAAATGCGCCCATAACGTTCCATTATTCTGTACTTCCTTTGGCACGGAAAATGTAGTATCAATCTCGCGCTTATCGTCCCATCCACCATATTTGAAAGCCTTCTCATTTATGACAAGCGAATCTTTGGGCATGGCCCTTAACCCTGGAAACACCAAACTCGGACTAACGTATACACTCAAATCAACCAACGTATCCAACGGCCACATGGGCGCAATGTTTTGCGGGACAGGATTGTACGTAGCTTCGGAGCTGAAAGATGTAGGTCTATCGGAGAATGCTGGGATGGGACCCGAGATTGGTGGAGTAACGGTGTTTTGGGTGCCATCGGGGTTGGTAGTTACGACCGCGGCGGGGGTGTTGGATTTGGGCATTACTTGCTTCATCACGAATTGAATGAATATGAAGATGGCTACGCTTTGGACGATGGAGCGCAGGATCTGTAGGGTTGAATATTAGCTCGTCCATTTCATTTGTTGTGATAGTGCCACAGATGAGATGATAGTCGGGTATTACTGACACCGGCACTTCCACTCCCCTGCGCAGCTGGCGCATCGCGCGGTCGGGCTGATTGCGCTGGTGCTGCTGGCATGACGACAAGTGTATTGGTACAACAATTCAAGTTGTTGTTGTTGTTGTTGTAGGTTAAAGAAGTTCAAACAAAGTCCTCCACTGATGTCGCCGGATGGAAGGACGTGGATCGCGGATTACCGAAAAAAGAAAGTCTCCACTTTTCGCACTAGTAAGCGCAGCTTAACCACCCAACGTTCGACATTCTACAGAATTACACGCCATAGAGATACTTCATAATATGCGTATGCACAATTGATTACGATTCCTTCATCGTTAATGTGTGAAACAGTCTTTACACCGTACTCGAGAATACTGCCGAGCCATGGAGCTTAAATGTGCAACCCCACAAAATCACGCGACCCTTTCTCAGGTTTTGCAATCCATGCTTTACTTCATCCCAAAATTACAATAATTTATGGAGGAGTGTATTGGAATGAACGACATGCTTCTACCATTTCTGCTGTTCGTGTTGAGCGGCTTCCTATCTAGTATGTTCGACATTCGAGATTCGAGATTCTGGAATATGAAGCATGTTTGATGGCATGCAGTGAAGAGTTAAAGTAGCATAAGTATCCATATGTGACACAAGGCTTGACGCCGCTTACGACCATCCATCTCAGATAGGAAATGGCCTGAGCACAAATGGAAGCGAGCATACCTCTCATACTTCCCATACTTCAACTTCTTGTAATTCCCAATGTCAACCAACTATAACAGATAGAATACACTCCACTAAATCTGCAGTATCGATGTGTCATCCCTACCTCCCTCGTTTGTAATCTGTGCAATTTAAGAACAAACGCACGCCTTTCCATCGAATTACCCAATGCAGCCTAGCCTCCTCCATGCACGTAATTTACGCGCACTAAACGCGACTGGTGTCATACCCTTGTACCTCCATCAATTGACGTTTCTTGCAAACGAGTCGAACGGAATCCTTCGAACAAGCATTACAATTGAGTGTAACCGATTATCTGGGGCAACATCATATAAAGTAGTTTTTCCTGTCCTTAGGTGAGTTTCCCTCTTTTCTTAAACTCTCCTTTTCTGCAAGACAACAAAAATTGTTGCACGATATAAACCTTTTTGAGTCATGGGAGGAATACTAACGAAACCAGCAGCGATGAGTGAAGCGGAGGTGAGCAATGGAGCTGCCATTGCAGGTGCGAACGGCGCAGTCGTGTCTCCCGACGAGAAGAAGAATAGAAATCCAGTAGTTTGCGTATTGTAAGTCTCACTCCTCGTCTTATTCCACTAATTCGTTACTCCCATAAATTTAACATATACCCTCTACAGCTGCGGCGCCTCATCAGGCAACTCCCCCACCCACCTAGAAGCCGCCCGATCCCTAGCCCAAGCCCTCCACTCCAGAAACGCAACTCTCGTCTACGGTGGCGGAACCATGGGCATGATGGGCGAAATAGCAAAGACACTCGTTTCCCTCTCAGGACCCCAGTCCGTCCACGGCATCATCCCAGGCGCCCTCGTCAAATTCGAACAAGACGGCTCCGCAATCGAAGAATCGATATACGGTAAAACGACTGTAGTCAACGACATGCACACGCGCAAACACATGATGGCAGAAGCAGTCTACGCTGGTGGCGAGGGAAGTGGCTTTGTTGCTTTGAGTGGTGGATATGGTACCCTGGAGGAGTTGATGGAGGTTACCACGTGGAATCAGTTAGGCATTCATGGGAGGGGTGTTGTTGTGTATAATATTGAGGGGTATTGGGATGGATTGTTCCAGTGGGTGCGGACGGCTTGTAAGGCTGGTTTTATTAAGGGAGAGAATGGGCAGATTATGGTGGAGGCGAAGAGTGCGGAGGAGGTTGTGCGGGCGTTGTTTGAGTATAAGAATTCGAAGGAGAGGTTGAATTTGGAGTGGGTTCATGAGGGTTAGATGTTGCTTTTGTTTTTACATGCCGGTTAAAGGACTGTTTTGTTCTTCAAGCGCTGCATCATCGGATGGCGTACTGGGATGGGAAAACAGGTATTATATGAGCGTCGTCGACAAATGGGCGGCGCCTTTATGCTTGTGCATTATGATTTGCATGGGAAATGCATGCACGACTGGATAGATTCATACAAGTATAGGCAGGAGTACTTGTAAATTTACCTTTCATCAAGCCTGGAATTTGGTAAAAAAAATAACCGGAACTCTTTTCCTATCCGTGTCGCCTTCGTACTCCCGAGTATCCAGCTCAAATTTACAATGTCACTCCTTGCGCTTACAGCTACCAATTTATAGATACAAACCCTACGTCACTAATATATCTTTCTGCCTTACGCTAAGTTTTTACATCAATAGTGGATATGTATATGCGCATCAACTCCTCAGCGGATTGCAGCAGAAAACATCCTACCTCTCACATCAAGAAATCGCAATTGCCTCAGCAACTCTAACAGCGAATCCCTTATCACAACAAAAACAATGGCTCCAAACAGCTCGAAACTACGACAATTCACGTTCCTCGAACTTCCAGCAGAAATTCGCAA